TACAGATTGTTCTTGACCCTGGAAATGGGAGTCTTTACTCAAGAACCTCTTTACTTGTTTGTTCTGGAGCATCTAGCAGTATCATGCAGTCTTCATCAGCAGATGTAATTTTGAGGTCCCAGAGGTTCTCAGAATTTAGAGACAGATTGAACATCTTCAGTTCCATGATAACTGTTGTTTCCAGTGAAGAAGGGGTTGTAACCTTTGGCATAAGACTTGGGTGGGATGCAACCGAAACTGGGATCAAATACTGCACAACAGCTGAAACAAATCAGTCCAGTTGGACCAGAGCTTTCTAGCACTGACTTTATCCACACCTCCTCTCTGTGTTTTATTTTCTCAGCATTTTATATTCATTAGATAGGATACAATAAAAAAAAAAAAAGAAGACAGGAAGTGGAGAGGGAAAGAGAGTTGGGTTTAACATGCAACTAGGGTCTCCAGCCAAACTCAAATCAGGGACTTTGCCATTCAACATTTAACCACTAATATGCCCCAAACACTCTATGCTGGAATTCATTACACATCTGGCTACCCTTTCTGCTAATTGTTAAATGCAATATTTTACTTTCTGTCGTCTATTTATCTCTTCAAGTTCTTTACAATCTCTCCCTAACTTTAAGATGTCTAGCTTGTAGCCCCGCCTTTGAATGTCGCCACTTGTCTCTTTTGATGTGGTGCATGAGGCGCAGTCAGACATTGGTCTGGCATTCACTCTCAAAAACCCATATGGGGTTGTTTCAAAATATTTTAGTTCATTATATCACTCAGTGTCATACTGTATCTCATTGATCCGACACAAAGTAAGCATAAAACCAACTATAAAAGTTCTTGCAACTACTCTCCGAGCCAGGTCTGTTTGGGGTCAACCTCACCTGGTGCTCCATTTCTCTGTCTTGATGGCAACCACATGCCTGTCCTGCTTCCAAATGCAACAACCTTCCTCTCAGTCAGAAACTCTGGCAGACCTTGGCAAGAGGGAAGCAGCACTAACAGTTAGCACAGCTTGAATCCCAAGATCTTCACGTCAAGAGGAACCAGGGAAGAAATGCACCCCTACTTTCTCCAGAAATGCTCTTTGCAACCTTCTTGGATGTGAAGAAATCTCGCTGCGGCTTCCACAAGAAATTACCTTCACCCCGTGGAGCTCCATGAGTGCTTTCACAGACTCTGTAAACGGAGATCTCGGTTTGGACAATGTCTCTGTTTACTGAGTGATTGCCTGCACCTCTGTTGTTTCGGGGAGATCTTGAAGTTCCATTATGTTTTAAGACTTGGAGAACACTCAGGTGTGTGATGAATGGCTTGTAGAGACATCCAGCATATATTTTTGTGATACAATTTCGGATTCTTTGGAAGTTTGTAGCTAGCTGTTAACCTTCCATCAGAGACTGAGAAAATTTATTTTTGGGTTGGAGAATATGTGAGCCAAGACTGAGCTCTGATTCTGTATATTTATTTAAGGGGACCACGTAGAGTTTCAGAATGTGCTCCGTAAGATGAAAATCGTGAATTAATGACCCAGATTGGTTTGTTTGATGTCGTGCATCATTAAGTCCAGACTGATTTTCTTCAGTGGCAGCCACTGAATCAAAGCAGCAACTTTTTAATGAACATAATTGAGAGTAAAGATACTATGTAAGATGCTATAAATTCTTTAGCAGCTTCCTTTACTAGATTGAGCCTGTGTAGACTTGAGTTTAAAAACACTGAAGTGTGATTTAATTCAAATCTGGCTATTTTCATTCTGTGAAGCCCTGTCCCAGGCGAACCACAGAAAGACCATCGATTGTGCCAGGAATTGTTGCGGCTGCAGAGAAATTCAAGGTATTAAAAATATTTCTCTCCCTCTGCGGTTCGGCGTGTGTCAGGACAATGAGGAAATAACACCGACTTGCTCCCTCGTGTAATCTGACCTTTTCATCTTCTGTGTATAAATCAAATGTGGCTTGACTCCCTGCATAAATTCCACTGAAGGGTTATGACTTTGATTCCTTCACTGTGGAAGAGGAGTATTGTGGTTGGATGGTTTATGAAACAAGTATTACTGGTTAAGTATCTGGGGAAAATCGCCTCTGTTCTGTGACAAACTTTTGCTTTAGAGGTCTGCCCCTGTTTGGAGGCAGCTGATAAATCACCCAGTTGACATGTGTACAGCAGACAGCTCAGTCATTCTGTCTTATACTTATCCCAGACAATGGCAGTGATGCTGTAAGAAGGCTTGGACCTGGATGTTGTCCCTGCGGAAAGGGACAAACCCTGTGGGAAGGAAGAGCCATTGTGGTTATCTTCAAGTGGATGACAACAGAAATATCACACTACATGATAGTTTGGAGAGTTTTATCCACTCAGCTTCTGCAACCAAACCAAAGCAAACAATGCTCAGTTAGAAATAGCGTCTGACCTCTTCTAAGGCCATAATAGCACACCATACTGTGTTTATGTTGGCATCAGTCAGAGCACATTTTCCTCACATAAATAGCTCATCACTGACTGATGGATTTTAGAAAAAAAATAGCAGAGCTAGTTGCAGCCTTTATAATTTGTTGCTGGGATTATATTTTGTTTTGATTTAATATGAGATAAAAAACAATTAGACATACATTTCCCACGCAATTTAAGCCATGTCAGGATGGGTTCCTTGATAATTTAATAGTCAGCAGCGTGCAAAGGACTCAGGAAAGGGATGCCTGAGTGTTTGACCTCAGGATATGAGGCCAGGAAAGAGCAAATGATAAGCTAGCAGGGACAAAAAAAGGACTAAACATTAACGTCACAGATGTGGCACAATGACACGTGCTGCAGCTGGCTCGACCAGATCACTGGAAAATTACATTTCAGCTGTCTTATATCTCCACTCAAACCATATGATTATTATTTGTAACTAAATTATGAAAGGCAAAGCATTGCTTGTATTGAAAGCCAGAAACTACACTGAAATATTTTTGGTAACTGGAATTTTATGCAGGTTTCCCACACAATAACACCATATGGTGTCCTCATTCTTGGGATATTGTCACTTCTATTGCAGAGCAGATGGTGTGAAAGCTCCCACCAGTCAGCACTACCCAAAAAACTGCAATTTATAAATTCATAAGTGCAAAACTTTGTTTATTAATTTGATTTTCGCCAAAGTGCATATCCTGGTCCTGTATCAGTGTTTGATTACAACAGGAGCCATACTATGAGGACTGCTGTTTTCATTCATAATATTTACCAGACAGTTAATAATGCAGCTTAAGTTTGAGCAAAACATGATGGGACAAAATGATAGACCAAATCACTATGGCATGACTCTTATGATGAAGGTCTCATTTTCAAGGCTGAAGGGAAGGGCAACATCTGCAATAGAAAAAGCAAATTGGGTCACTTGGAGAAAATGACTGAAAGTTGAGTCATGGATACATAGCTGGGGAGGAGAGGGTCTGTTAATAATTTCCTACTTGGAGTAAAACAAAAACACAACAAAACAACACAGCAGGATAATTAGTGTTTAGATGGGCTTTAAACAGGTCTCCACTCGTCATTAACCACCAGTAACAGATGCCTGAGTCCTGATGAAGCTCAGGCTTGCTGCATTCCAGTGTGAGAGGAGGCCAGTTACTGTACTGTAGGTGTCCACTCGTTAGCTTTGACCTTGGCTTGAAGAACGACTGTAGTCATCTGAGCCGTTCACTTTATTACCCTTGAGACAAAAACCAAACATCTCGTTGAAAGCCCATGTTCTTCAGCTCTGCTTGGATAATGATGAATAGATTCCGTTAGTCTGGGGGTGGTGGGAAGGGGGGGTTAGACTCTTTGGGAGGGAGGAGATTAACTTGTTCATAATTGAAAAGAAAGGAAGGAACTCGCCAGGAAGACAGTGCGTAGGTCCATCCCTGTGGTGTGGAGCAGAAACAAAAGGCCCATCGTCTCACTCCCGTGGGGACAGAGGGGGTGGCCTGGAAAGCCCGTTGCCATAGTGACCGCTCTGTCACTTAGCCCCCCGAGCGCTGTCTCAGTCAGGCGCTGTGCAGTGTACATAGGATCTGCCAAGAGTCAGCAAGATCAAAATCTGCCCTGGAAAGCACAAAGGCTCTGCTAAACCAACTGCAGCTGGTAGAGGAGCTTTTTCCTAAACATGGCTATGAGTTAGAAAACTTCACAGCATGGCATTTTTCTCAGCCCTCGATCTACCCACCTGGCATGTAAAACACTAACCCCCAGCAAGTTATAGGGCTTTTATTGAGTAAAAGAAAGTGATTCTGTGGCTTTTGTTATAGGATTTCTGATAGATTGTTGTGGTTTGAATTGCTAGAAATGTGAAGGCAGGGGACTTTAAGCTCCCTCCCTTATTCACACTTTAGAAGTGAACTGAAAATTTAATTCCACACACTTTTTGTGTGAAAACATAAAACAACTATAATGATATTAGCCCTGTATAATGAATAGTCCTGTAATCTCAGCACTCTGTATTTTAGTCTGAGATGGGACAACTGCAGTCCCACAGCTGGTATACTGCATGTGAGGCCTTTAGAACTTAAGTGATACTATAAACTGTCTGAAGTTCCTACCTGAACAGATCCAATCAAAATACATTGAAGACATCACAATTTTGGTTATTAAATTTTATTTAATTTAATTAATTAGTTTTGACCTAAAAGACAAACACCAATAATCCTGGTCTCTTACTAAAAAGCAAAAAAAACATTTATATTTAAGGTTGACAATGAAGATATTGTTTGCTTTACTTTTTCAGACAGCCTAGACATTCCTGTGTTTTTTACAGTCTCTGTGCATTTTACCCTGGTTGGGCTCAAGAGAGCACAGTTGAACCACTGGCAACTGAAAAGCCTGCCTCTAGTCTCTAGCTGGACCGTGTATCCTACAATAGGCCTGTCACTGTTTGCATTGCAGACACCTCACTGAGTTTGGTTCTAATGTAGCTTGACGTCTGTGTGTCTGTGTCTGTGTCTGTGTGTGTATGTGTGTGTGTGTGTGTGTGTTTGCTCTTGTCTCAGGGTGGCCAAATGAACTGTTTAGCCTGAGGACCAAAGATCACGGGGCCCTGATCCAACAGCAAGGCAGAGAAAGAGAGAGGAGCGTTATCCTTTTGCATCCATTCTCCAAACTCTCATTACACTATGAGCTGGGACTGAGGGCGCACTTCAAAGTTTCATTTTGTGGTGAGTTTTATTCCCTCTCTGTTCTCCCTTTTGTGTTTACTTCTGCTTTTACACGAGAATGTTTGCCGTCTTTTAAAGGTCATTAGTGGGCCATGTTACATACAGTTTACTGAAAGCTGCATCAACAAAGCTCCAATGCTTCATAAATCACTGAGGTATTCACACCATGATAGAGATCAGGCACTGAGGTTATCAGTGGGTGTAATTTGGAGGTAAATGCAAACACAAACATGTGGTTTGTGCAATTTGAGGACATCCATATGATCCGTGTGTGGGCATAGTGACATGTGGTTCAACTTAGGGTGCAGTGCACACAGGTTACAGTCAGACAGCTTCAGAGTTCGTCATCATTTCACATGAACAGAGTGGGTTTTTTTCCACAGCCAGCCACAACACAAAGCACATGTTAAAGGGGAATTGTGCTAATATTAACTGGAAGGATTAAAGACACCTTCCTTTTAGTTTCACACTGGTTGCCATCAACACTCTTATGTGCCTCATGGTGCAACACCATGATGTCATCAAGCCAGGGAGGTGGAAATTGTTAACAAAATGGCAAAGTGGAGGAGAAAAGCCAGAGTCAGCAGGAAAGGGCTGCGGGGTGGAGAAGGAGGGGAGCTGCGGAAGGTTAACGGAGGAAATACAGAAAGACCCAACAGCGCAACACGAGCGTGGTGTGGTATTCCATACAGGCAAACCCAATAAATGTTTTGCTTCAGATGAGAAACAGACTTGTTTCTCCTGAAGACAAAAGCTGCTGAGTGAGGAGGTAACATGAAGGTAACATAGAGAACTGGATACAGATAATTGCTGAAAACAAAAAACAGACTGCAAAGGAGAGTGAACATGAACTGCTCTTGTACCTCGTCTGGCGAATGGCTCCACAGGTTTTACTTTAAGAAAGACTTCCTCGGGAGGGTTAGTAGTCACCACTGCACACAGGAACGTTTAAAAACACAATAGGGCTCCTCAGACTAACAGGATGCCAGGAAGATAGACAGCTTAAATGTCAGGGACACAGTGTCCAAACATTACAAATAAGTCAACAACACACTGGCCTTTTCCACTGAGCTATACTGATTGATCTGGGAGTCCTATCAGGCAGGAAAGAGTCCTTTGTGGCTGCTTGGAAAATTGACACTTGACCTCATTTACAGAGGGCTGTCATGATTCAGAGAGAATGGCAGAGGCAGAGACCCATGTGCCAAATGCGTTATGGTGATCCCAGATGAAGCCAGTGCTTAAAGAAAACACAGAGGAGCTTTTGTTTGACACTTGGAGGCCTCATCCCACCCACCCTCAGGCATACGAAGAAGTGTTGTGGTCAGTGGGTTTGACATCCAAGCACTGCACAGAATGTAACACTGGAGGAAGGGTGTTTGACTTAAAGCACCTGGAACAGTATTAATAGGGTGTCTAGATGCATTATACACCAAAGTCAGATTTAATATGGTGTCACATGTTTGTTGTTTTTCAGGTGTGAAGAAAACAAAGGCAAAATCACCATGGATGTGAAGAAAACAGAAATGGACCTCCTGAGCAACAGCATAGCTGCTTATGCACACATTAAAGGTAAGTCACACTCTGTAGCCCAGCACAATACCTACACTGACCTGTGTTCATGATGTGATCTTTAATGAACAACATTTAACTCTATCTGATGTTGTTCATTTGTATCCTTTCTGTAGCAAACCCAGAGAGCTTTGGCCTTTACTTTGTGCTCGGAGTGTGTTTCGGCCTGGTGCTGACGCTCTGCCTCCTGGTCATCCGCATCTCCTGCAAGCCACGGACCAACATCGCCCCCTCCACGCCTGAGAAAAAACAATTAAAGGACATCAGCGAGGAGGAGGAGGAGAGTGAGGATGATGAAGATGAGGAAGGGGACGAGGTGGAGGCCCCAATCCCTTTGCCCAGCACAGAGATCCCTGTTGGTAATCATAGCAGCCAATCAGATGGGACGCTGAGTGTGAACGTATTTACTTCAGCCGAGGAGCTGGAACGGGCGCAGCGACTGGAGGAGAGGGAGCGTATCATACGTGAGATCTGGAGGAACGGCCAACCTGATATCCTGGGGACGGGAACGGGGACTATTGGAAGAGTGCATTACTACTAAGAGGCTACAAGGGAAACACTGAAAACTCTGTGAAGGAGTGACAAAGACCTTTGAGTGGGCACGGTGTCCCTGAAGCCTGCAAACCTGTGTTAGATACAAAATGACACAAGGAGACAGGACAAACAGTGATGTGATGTGCCACCTTTGATACACTTGGCTCTGACAAAGCCAAACTTTGAGATATTGCACGTCTTATGAAGCAATGTTATTTTCAACTGACTATATGAACTAAAATCAAGAGATTTCTTAACAACTGATTAGTCCATATCGAAAAGAGGCAGTATGAATGTGGGAGCTGAAAGACACTTGAAGTAATCAGTCTGTTAAAATGTATGGCGCTTAAGAACAGAAATGCACACAACTTGGTTTATGTAGGCTATGTATAAGTGAAAAATGAAAATATAAATAAGTACAATGTATGTACTGTATGTTGCAATGAAGATTATGTGTTTGCAGTGAAAAGGAAAAGGAAATTACATTGTTTGAACAAACACATATCAATCACTTTTTTGGGTCAGAGATTACACATTCAATATAATGCAAGGACAGTTAAAATTGGAAAATTTATAAAGTACATTAAATCCATGTCTATATTTTCAGGGTTAATTCCACCAGCGGAAATGGCAGAATTAAAGTATTAAGCTGAAATAATTTACTCTTGTTTCTCTTCATAATGCTCAAATGTCAGACAAATAAAAACAACAGAGCTCTTCTTCTCTGTACCTTTGGGCCATGGATTTATAATCAAGTTACAAAAAGTCTGAAAGCCGATTTTTATCAGTATGATTAATGGAAAGGTCATTCTTTGTCATTTGTTATTTCTGCTCAATGTCTTTGTCTTAAGGTTAAAGAAATAAAGTTTTATAATAAAATGTCTGGGAACTCATAACCGTGCTTTTGTGTTTCTACAAGGCTCTGGTGGACTAAGGGTTGAGGTTCTGATAACAAAGTGCAGCTGAAGAATAACTTTCATTTCTTGCCCTTCTTTAAAAAAAAAAAAAAAAAAATTGAGGAAATCTCTATAACGGAGACGACTCGGGAACCGGATGTAATTTATATCAAGCGCGCCTTTTAGGTGAAGGCGGTCCGTTCAACCTGATGGCACCTGCTTACTCGTCCACCGCTTCTGCTCGTGTTCCTATAGTATTTTGTGGATACACTAGTGGGCTAAGAGTCTAACCATGTTACATAAAGTCTCGTATATTTGCGTCGCTTGTTTCCCCCGCCGATATCATATCAGCTGTCCTCAAACATTCAAGCCGGAAGTCGGACTTTTCTCCCTCACCTGCAAATTGGAAGCACATCACAAAGCTAAGTTCTAATTGTTTTATTCTAACATGTATTGTGAAAGCTGCATTTACTTTGTTGAGCTTCTTTTGGCAATGACTTTAGCCATGCCAGCAGTGAGGTGCTATGGGTTGGTCTTTGGTTGATCCACCATTTTGGCCCAGCTGATTTGAAACTATTGGGTGGTTTGAAAAAAAATTCATAGACGTTTGTTTCCCCCAAAAGATGAGACAGACTACACAATTAAGTGAGTGCCTTTCCTCCTTCCTCCGAAGATTAACACCTGTGATTTAGAGTGAAATATCTCTACATTAATTGACTCAAAATTTAAAATTTGATCCCCTAGTGCCACCAAGTAGGAAATGTTCCGACAATAATTGGATGGATTGTAATGATTTTTAGCACAGATGTTCCCCACAGGATGAATTGCAGTAACTTTAAAGGTCCCCTGACTTGCTGCTAAACAGCAAATGTTAGATGGTGAATATAGTAAACACTGCAGTGCATCAGGGTTAACATTTCCATTGTGAGGATGTTAACTGACAGTAACATTTAGCTCAAAGCACAAGTTGCTAGCGTGGCTATAAACTGTTGTTAAATTGTCTTTCTGTTGTTGACCCTGCTGTCTTGGACTTCACTGGCTGCTGTTTTGTGCTCTTATGCTGTTGTTTCTGCTCGCTGGTTTTGCTCTTATGCTGTTAATGTGCCGGCTGCTTTTCCGCTGCTATGCTCCGCTGTTGCTATTGATGCTGGCTGCTAATTTCTGTTCGTATTTGTGCTCTACGCTGCTGATATTTGTGTGCTGGCTGAAATTTCTCTTCTGCTGTTAATACATTATGTGCATGTTGGTCATTTCTGTTTCTATGCTGTTGATTTAATGCTGGCTGCTAATTTCTGCTCTTATTCTGCTGAATTTACAGCATGTGCAGGATTGGGATTGGTATTAATTGTGAATGGCTTTCCTGCAGCGATTGAGCTCATATTTCCTTTAGTTGTTTGGCATGTGCAATTTGATGCGTTCATGCTTTTGGTTTCTCACACTTGACTACTATGTGTGTTGGGCTGAATTGGTTTTGTGACATCCTTTGTGTCTGGTTTGAGAAGTTTCCTGATGGCTCACTGCCATGTGTCTTTAGTAGGGTAATATTGAACACTGGCTTCAGGGAGGTACCAGCTCATTTATGTAATTATTTCCCTGTAATATTGGCTTCACAGGAAACTGCATGAGTTTTGTCACACACATAGGTGGCCATTTTCTTCTGATGCTTTATATTCATCTTAGAGAAATATGTCAATGCAATGACTGCTCACTTTTCATTTACACCTGTGCTGCTGCTGCTTCTGTCTCTGTCCTTGTGCTGATGTTGATCTGCTGCTGGTTACTGAGGTGTCTTGACAATTATTGGATGGATTGTGAATTTTGGTACAAACATATGTTCCCCACAGGATGAATTGCAGTAAGTTTAAAGATGACATGCCATGTAATGCCACCATCCAGCTTCAGCTGTTTGTAGTGTTTAGTGCTAAATAGTAAATGTTAGGAAACATGATGGTGAATATAGTAAACACTTCAGTACATCAGGGTTAACATTTCCATTGTGAGGATGTTAACTGACAGTAGCATTTAGCTCAAAGCACAAGTTGCTAGCGTGGCTGTAAACTGTTGCTAAATTGTCTTTCTGTTGTTGACATTGCTGTCTTGGACTTTGTTGCTGCTTTGTGCTCTTGTACTGCTGATATCTGCTCGCTGAATTTACTCTGTTTACCATGGCTGCTTTTCTGCCCCTGCTATGTCGATATTGATGCTGGCTGCTAATTTCTGTTCGTATTTGTGCTCTACGCTGCTGATATTTGTGTGCTGGCTGAAATTTCTCTTCTGCTGTTAATACATTATGTGCATGTTGGTCATTTCTGTTTCTATGCTGTTGATTTAATGCTGGCTGCTAATTTCTGCTCTTTATTCTGCTGAATTTACAGCATGTGCAGGATTCGGATTGGTGTTAATTGTGAATGGCTTTCCTGCAGCGATTGAGCTCATTTTTCTTTTGGTTGTTTGGCATGTGCAATTTGATGCGTTCATGCTTTTGGTTTCTCACACTTGAGTATTATGTGCGTTGGACAGAATTGTTTTTGTGACATCCTTTGTGTCTGGTTTGTTTTCCTGATGGCTCACTGTACTGCCATGTGTCTCCAGTAGGGTAATATTGAACACTGGCTTCAGGGAGGTAACAGCTCATTAATGTAATTACTTCCCTGTACCACAGAAAGAAGATGCTCACTAAATAGTTTGCTCCTTTCATTGTCTGTGGTGGCTAGCCCACACATAGTAGATTCCATATAATAGCTGGTGCCATGCACTGTGTCTAATGTGGTTTTGGGGGAGGAGTGTATTATTGTCACTCCCAAAACGCTGCTGTTCTGACTTTGGCACCCGCTCGTGGGGAGTGACGAGGTCAGGGCGTAGATGGCAAATATCAACTCTGTATTCACATAATAAATCTTTTCCACGTGAGTTGGCCGACTGACATATTGTTTGGCTGCCAATACAGACTTACAGACTTACATTGATGAATTGCCCGCACTGGGCGAATGTTTATACTGGACATTATCGCAAGTCAATCTTCAGTGGTTTGGTGATTTACAAGTTATGAAAGTATGAATTCTTGGCATGTCAATAAAGTTATACAAAAGGGAAAATACACTAAATACTCATTAGGGTATGGCACGTGTCCACATTCTTTCTGTTGGCCAACCTGGGGCCAGAAACTTGAGTGTTACATCCTTGTGCTGGGAGGCTGGTGTTGCATGGATGAACGTCTTGGCTGGAGAGGAAGCAGGCCAAGAACTACTGCTAGAGTCTTCCTCAAAGTACACGCTGTGCTGGAAGAGCAGACAGGGTTCAGGTTTGCCTTGGGGCCCACTCTGTTTTCAAATGGAGCCCACACTGAAATCTTCTTCTATTGAGGTCTTGGAAAAGCCTCACATGTGGTCACAGGCTTTCAGAAATCACAGGCGTTGATGGTGTGGACTCTTTTGAAGTAGCTGTGTAATTATATTTGTATAAACCTCTTGTGACTGGCTTTTACCTCAAAATCCTAGGACCCAAGATATGTTTTACTAGACCCACGACTGAATATTTTGAATAGTGTCCCTTTCATTTTGCAGGATGTAATCAAGACGCACGTGTAATTAGAAGCAACATATTTTAGCCTTATTGCAAACATGCATTTATGAAACAATACATCAATAAAAATTAAGTGAACATGACTAAGAGGGGAATCCAGTTAGTCTGAACCATAACACGGCGTGGGAAAGATGTCGACAAACACGAACAGAATACAAGATGTAAGGCTGTCATTTGTGGCTCTTTGGCTGATTACAGAAAAGATCCTTTTTATAGACAATGACATCTATAGCTACGTCCATGCTACTTAACCACTGCTAGTTAAATTACTTTCATTTTATTACAATGGTCAAATTTGAATGTTTTTTTGGAGTATAAAATGCAGCAAACAGCAGTCCTTTGACTATAATAAGTATGATTCCTCTCAGTAAATGGCTCCATGTTAAAGTTATCTTTTTAATATGTGGCAGATTTATTACCATTTCCATTGAGGTCATGCATATGATTTGTTTCTGAATCGGTCCAGACCTTTTCTCTGACACAGGCGAACTGTTCTTTCTCAGCTCCTCTTTCACAATTTCTAATTTTAACTCCAAGGGATTTTTTTTTGTATCTGACCTCTGAGCTCCAAAATGCTTCAGTTTTCAACACTTCAGTTCCATTTCACTCGTCTTAAATTTCTCCAATGTTACGGTGCACTGTACACTGCTTGTTGTCGCTGGAGACCTACAGCAGTATGTTTCTTACAAGTGAGTCAAATATTCACACAAGTGGTGTATTATGATTTATAAGAGTGCCTGTAGTGTAACCAGCACCCGTCATCACTGAGATCTTTTAGAGGTCCCTTAGTCAAAGAAGTGAAATTTCCACTCGTATTTGCAGGGCTTTACAGAAAGAGCATTCATTTTTCACGTCTTCCAAAAATTCTGAAATTTCTGCATTATCATCTGACCCTTTGTATGTTTACACTCATTTATCTCACCCCTTGTCCAAGAGGGAATGTGCCCTTGATCGCCATTATTCAACACAGTTTTTAAAAATAGTATGTTCCCATGGCAGTTTCAGAAGCACCCTGTCCCTGATGAGCTCCAGATGTTGTCCAGATGTGCTCTGCAGTGGGCAACACTAGTAGACAGGCTTAGACAAGGAACACACCACCAGTACTACCACCACAATTTGGAGCCAGAACCAGATTTATATGCCTCATTCTGAAGATGGCAGGATCCAAATATGGTCAAGTTAAATAACTTTCTCTATGATGGCTGCAAAGAATTTCTTATTAAATCTTCCCACTGTGATGAGTCACTAGTTAAAGAGTTTGCAGAGTGAGTCAGTTTTTCTCAGTGACATGGGATGCCTTTTCTACTTAGCTGCAAAAATGCAGTTGACCACAAACTTTATATAAATTCTGTAGTGCTTCGACAGCATTTTTTAAAGATTTCCTCTTGTAAAAACAGTGTCCATTAACATGAGTT